AAATCAAAAAGAATCTTTCATAAATGAGAATTCTAAAATTGGCGCCATATAAATTTGAATATTACTATAAAATTATATTTTGTGTATATAGCATATATGCTAATCCAAATTCATGATTCTAATTAAAATAAAAAAAGAATCCTCCATAAATGAAGATTCCAAAATAAGCTACATAATTATGTACAGGAAATCAACTACATAAATCAAGATTCCAAAATAACCTTTACCTACAAAATAACTATTAACTTAATTAAAAGAAACATATAATTGTCTAAAATAAAAACATAATGAAATCTGAGTTATATGGAAACTATGCAATTAATGACTTATTTTTTTATTTAAATAGTATTATATTATTTCTATCTATAGTAAGTAATTAATGCTGATGGCGGGAAAATGTTACTAAAAATGATTTAAGTTAATCCTTATTATATATTAATAGATTATATATATATAGATGATGATGATGATGATGATGATAATAATAATAATAATAATAATAATAATAATAATTATAATAATAATAATAATAATAATAATAATAATAATAAATTGTAACAATTTTTGTGTTAGGAATTATATATATATATATAGTTGAAATATAAAATAATAAAAAATATAAAATATAATTTTTAATTTTTTCTTTTTTGCAAGCAAAATTTACAATAAAAGGAGCTGAAATATTTATTTTTTCAAATTTTCTTTATCAGATTGGGTGTAATGTATATTTTGATATGTATTTTATTATTTTATGAATTATTTATTTAAGAATTTCAAATACCCTTTTATTTTCCAAAAAAAAAAAAGTTAAAATTAGATGTAAACCAAAAAATAAAGTCTAATCACATTATGCGGTCCTGTCAGTAATCAAAAGTTAAAATGATTCGTATATTCTATATATATATATATATATATATATAATTGCTGGCAGATAGATTAAATAAAACATTTAATAAAACCTTCATAATTTTCCCGCTCATTTTTTCAATTAATGTAGAAACATTATATTTTTACATTAATAAAGTGTAATAACAATTCAAAACTAATTTATTATATAATATTACTACTAACACTAACTGATTATAATTTTACATTAAATAGATGTGGAAGTTACATACTTATAAAAAATTGTATTGTAATTTTTTTTATTTAAAATATTTTCTTCTAAAATAAAATAATTATTGTCTTTTATCTAATGTTAATTAATTGGCATGAATGTCATAGTTAAACACCTTAAAACCATTTAGACAATTGCTATAACAATGATAAAAATGTTTGTAGTACTTTTCTAACTAATTAAATGTATGGTCCCTCTAGATTACTAAATTATATTGTCCATTAAGATTTATGGCATCAATATAAATATTCGTACGTAAGTTAAATAATTTATATTTACATTACACATTTGCATATAGTCAAAATTTAAAATGTAATATATCCATTATCTAATATAAAAATTTTATATATTGTATGCATACATATAATATATATTTTTTTTTTGTGCATGTGCACAGGATGAATACTAGTTTTGAAGTAATTATTGTACTAGTTATGAATTAATAAATCAAAGTAACAGTTTTTAGAGGGAAAATGTTAAAGTGCCACATAGGTTAAATTAAATATATTTTATTTATTGCTTAGGTAGCAATTATATTTATATAGATTCTGTCAATAAGGATGAGTTCCCGACAAAAAATCTATAGAGGCAACAAAAGACTATTTTATAAATTTATCCATGAACTGATATATAAGTATATATTTAATTTAAGACACGTGTCAATGTATATTAATGAAAAATTATGATGACTCATAATTCTTATACTCATAGTGAAATTTATTTACAAAACACAATATATATATATATATATATATATATATATTTTTTTTTTTTCATTTACAAACCAAAGTTGAGTCAAAGTGAAATTGATATATACAAATTCTCTTGATTATTTAATCACCTTTAGGATTAAATTTCTTATATTCCTTTACTATATTTAAGTTATGTTCCTCATAATTGTCACAAATCCTATATTATTGTTGTATGTTTTTGTTACCCATAAAAACTTTTCCAAAAAATAAAATTATATTATCCAACCACAAAAAAAAAAAA